CTTTGCCAGTGCCTGACATTCTCTTCCTTCTCTCTTGCTCTTCCTTCCCTCTGCTGCCTTTTCTTCTCCTTTCTCCCCTTCCTCCTCACTTTTCTCTCAGCAGTTTTACCCAAAAACTTCAAAGTGAAGATGGTGACAAAGACGTCTGTCCTTCTGAGCTGGGAGTTTCCTGAGAATTACAACTCTCCCACCCCATACAAGGCAAGTGGAAGGGAAGAGTCAGAACTGTGTTCCTTCTCGTTCCCCTGGGAGTCTTGTCTGTTTTGTTGTCTGAGGTTGTAAGAGGCAGGAATTCTGGATTCAGTTCTTAGATAGGGGCAGATAATGTTGGCAGATAATAATGTTTAATCACTAGATCAAGGAGACGGGTTGAAAATCAGAGGTTGAAAATTCCCACCTGTACTACCAAATCATTGCCTCCCTAGGCAAGCTACCACAATTTTCCCATTTCCAAATAAAAAATTTTCTTCCCAGAGAAGTCTCAAGGCTGTGTCCTGCATCTGCCTTATACTTGGGGACCCTCTTGTGCAGCAGGCACAGGAGACAGACAGCTTCCCACTCAAATGCTTCCTATTCCTGGGTTTGCTCCAGCTCTGGCAGAGCTGGGTGGAGCATGGCACAGCTGAGTGCCCCAAGTTCTCTGCAGATTGAAGCAACGGGGAGGATGGAGTCTGGTTGCTTCAACAGTATCAGCCTTGCTCATGGTACAACTTTGCGGCCTCTTCGCCTGCTGCAGATCCAGTACAATGGGCTGAACGTCGATGTGGATGGCCGCACCACCAAGAAACTCATCACCAACCTGAAGCCCCGCACGTTCTACAACTTCGTTCTCATGAACCGGGGCAATAGCATGGGTGGCTTGCAGCAGAACGTTGCTGCCTGGACCGCTGCTGACATGTTATCAAAGAAGCCAGAGGTGACCCACAAGCCTGATGCTGACGGCAACGTGGTGGTGATTCTCCCAGATGTGAAGAGCTCTGTGCCTGTCCAGTAGGTTTCTGATAAACTGCAGATGTGGGGTCCCCAGTTTATGTTTTGGGGATCAGCCCTGATGGCTGGAGTCCACAATAGAAACCCAGAAGGGCAGTGGTGGTGGTGGGGAGTGTTCCTTCCATTTTTAGCCTTGCTGACTGTTGTCTTTTGGAGCTACTTCCCAGAGCTAACAGGGGATGCTAAAAAATGCTAAGCGAGTAAATATGGAGACATGTCATATGGGGCTGCCACTGGATCCAGGCTCGTTCCAGGAGCAGCGGTAACAACTGTGCTGAATTAAAAATAAGGGGCTTGCTGGGTTGGGCCAGGGGGCTGCTTGGGCAAACCTAGCCTTCCACCAGCAGTGTGTGCATTGTCTTCCGTGGCTCGTAGAAAGATCAATTCCTCCTATTTCTTCTGATTATTCCCAACTCTTAGGGCTTACTACATTGTGGTGGTGCCTCTAAGGAAGTCCCGGGGAGGACAGTTCCTCAACCCCTTGGGCAGCCCTGAGGAGATGGACCTGGAGGAGGTGAGTGTGGGTGAAACTGAAGCCAGCTGTAAGGAGAGAGCAAACAGCTGTAATGGGTGTGACAGTGACCTGAGAGCCTGGGAAGGGTGGTCTTGGGGTGTCTGTGCTCCACATTCTGAATAGCTGAGGTGAGGCCAGTCTGAGTGGAGTGGTTTGCCTCTCCTTCCTTCCTGGTCCCTTGATGGGATGCTGAAGGCATCAGGGCTCAGAGTGTTCCTTTGCTTCCTCCAGCTCGTTCAGGACATTGCCAGGCTCCGACGCCGAAGTCTGCGTCACTCCCGACAGCTGGACTTCCCCAAGCCTTACATTGCTGCCCGTTTTCGCTCCCTCCCCTCCCACTTCATCTTGGGGGACATGAAGCACTACGACAACTTTGAGAACAGAGCCCTGGAGCCAGGGCAGAAATATGTCATCTTCATCCTGGCCGTGCTCCAGGAACCCGAGGCTGTAAGTGCTGCCTGCTTTCTCTTGCCCTCTTCAGATGCTTGTGCCCCTCTGTCCCCATTATCGACCAGCGACAGCAGCTGCTCCCTCGTGAGCTGCCACAGCCCTGGTGCCCTCCTGGCGTTCTCCGAAACTTTCTCCCACCAGATGCCAGAGCTTGAGGTTTTTTGCTTTGTAAAGACCTTCCGGTCCAGCTGTGGAGCTTTTGCATGTGGCCATTGGAGCTGTTTGTGCTTGTGTCTGCATGCAGCAAATGTGCTCTTCCAAGCAGACAGGCTAACGGCGCATGCATCTTACGCACTGCTGCCGCATTTTGCCCGTCTTCATAGGCAAGACTTGCTACACTTGTGACTCCAGATTTGAGTCCAGAATGGGGAGTTCTGAACTCTCCACTCAGGACTACACTCAAGTTCAGAGATCCCTCGGTCAAACGCTTGTACAAAGAGCAATTTCTTGTAAAGGCTGTCCTTGTATTCCTTAGAGCAGTGACCCTAGACATCCCGCTTTGAGAGCAGCATGTCAGCCGCCCTGGTCATGACCAAGTTCCCCACCGTGCAGAGAGGGGAGCAGTAGATGTGCTCTCTGCTCTTTTTACCACTTCAGCACCTCTGCTGATTTCAGTGGTACTGTGTTTGGCTTTATGAAAACAACTGTTTGAATATTTACCTGCCTCCTCCCTCATGCACAATAGGAAGCAGTCTAATACTTCGTTGTTTTTAAATCCCCCTATGGAGTTGTAGCAGGGAGCTATTTGAAATTAAGGATTTTCAGAGGGTTTTTTTCCCAAATAAATATTTAGTTGTATATTTGATATTAAAGGATTAGGCTGACACGCTTCTGAATGGGTTTCTCAATCGGATTACTGCAGCTTGTGGTAATTTCTGCTTTAGAACAAGGTGCTGCATACTCGCTCACAACGGCCTGGATTCACAGCAGCTCCCAAGTATGTAGCAGTATTTCAGTCTTGTCGAGAGCTAACAGAGGTCAAGAACCCAGAGCCCAGATTTCCTGTTCTTGTCCTGTCACAGACTTTTCACTCAAACCAGGGCATGCCAGTTCTCCTCCGTGCATTTTAGTTTCTGTAGTTTCTGTGTAAGATGGGAGGGAACGCAGTATTCCTGGGGTTGGGAGACTGTAGCATTCATGAGAACAAGCAGGCAATGCCTGTTAGTTAGGACTTCGGTGGGTTTGAATGTTGCTTCTGATTATCCGCAATAGCCCAGCTCACTGCAGAGGGAGCAGAGGAGACATATTGCATTTTATTAATTTATATTTAATTGTAAGGGTTGGATTTTTTTCAGTCACCAGACCACACTGTTTCTAAGCGTTAATTCTTGTTTTAATCCCCTCCCTCTTTTCTCTGTAAACCCATCTGACTGTCAAAATCCAGATGGTTTTATGAGAGCTTGGAGAAAGTGTTTCTGTGTTTGTGGCAGTGGAGAGGGCTCACGGATGTGGTGGAAGAGAGGCATAGTCAACTGGTTTTCTAAAAGCACCTTCCTGGCTACAAGATCGTGCCATAGGCACAAGCCAGTCTACAATTTCATGTGAATGTGATTTTTCAATGGTCTGTCTTGCCTGGAGCATTGGAGGAGGAAGATACCTGTCACACGGGTGCTCACAGACAAGAGTTTTTTCTAAAGCTTGAAGAGGGCATTTTCTGTTATTACTTGGTTTATGCTCACATCCTCTCTAGCAATTTCTCTTGTGGAATACTGTATGCTTGCCCATTGTTTTCAGTCCCCATTCCATCTCTGAACTCTGTTCCACAATCTTTCATGTCTTCCAGACTTTTGCTGCTAGTCCTTTCTCCGACCCCATCCAGCTGGACAACCCTGATCCACAGCCGATCATTGATGGAGAGGAAGGGCTGATCTGGGTTATCGGGCCTGTCCTGGCCGTGGTGTTCATCATCTGCATTGTCATTGCCATTCTACTCTACAAAAAGTAAGAGATGCTTCTTGCCCAGATCTGTGACCATTCTGAATGTTCCCAGCTTTAGCCCCTGAAGGGAATTTCCTCCTTGGTCCTGTAGTTGTCAGCTGAGGGCAAATCCTTCCACCAGCACCAGAGGGAGGAGCCCTGAGGCACAAATGCTGAAATGAAAGGGTCTGACTGGCACAGGAGAGATAAGCAGTGAGTTGCAGGGACTTGCTGCTTCAGAGTCTACCCCACAGCACTCTTGAGTAAAGCTGTGCTTGTTTATAGGCACTCTGTTGTGGCATGTGCGTAATGAGTTTGTCAAGTCTCTTGCCTGTCTCTGGCAAGAGAGCTGCTCTGGAGCCACAGCCTTGGGCTCCCCTTCCTGCGCTCTGTGTGTGTACGCACAGTGGGGCGATGCAGAGAAAGCACCTTTGTGCTGTGGATCAGCAGAGACCTCCATTGTTTCCAAACTGGTTTACAGCTGGAGTTGTGAGATGAGCAGGAGCAGCAGGGATGTAATGCGAGTCTGCAGGAGGGAGGAAGGAACAACCGCTGGAAATCTCTTCCTTTTCCTTGGCTTCCAGGGCATGGGGGCTCCTTGAGCACACGCAGGCCACACTGTGCAATGAAAGAGGACAGGAAAGGAAGCAGATGCTGAGCAAAATACATCAAGGGGCAGGATGGCAGCTATGGCCGATGCAGGGGTGTCCTTAGCTGGGACATCTAGTACCCAGGTTGGAGGGAGCTCCTGTAACGCTGCTCCATCTTTCGTCTGCATGGGTGTGTTTGTTTATGCACATGGATGTGTCTTTTGCATCCCAGCATGTGTGAAGCTGCTGGACATACAAGTGCTCTGGGGTCAGGGACTCAGGTGGTCCTTGTTGGTGTTCATTAGCACTGATCTAAATGGGTTATCTTTGCTGGTCCCACCTTCCACCTGTGTTACCAGGGTTAGAGCTGAGCAAGTGCCCCCCCTTTCCTCTGCAAGTCCTTTCTAACCTGAACATTTGTCTTGTCTTCTCTCCACTTACTGTTTTCCTGGACAGCAAGCCAGACAGGTAAGAGCACCAGATTTGCAATTTTCTTAGGTTCTTTCTTGCTGGGCTGGCTGTGTGTTAGGCAGTGTTCGTTGTCTGTGGTGATGGGGCTTTGTTGGTACAGTTCCTACCATTAGGTCTGTTCCCCATGTCAGGCTAGCACAGGACCATGTTTGAATCGGGGCAGAAAAAGCAAAGAAAGCCCAGCTTTCTCCTGCTTGTCCATTCCTAAATATAATGGCCCTTTCTCAAGCTGAGCAGCGGTGACAGTAAACGGGTCATAAAATGTTGGGTTAATGGAGCAGAGAAACACCCATTTGTATCGCAGTCTGAGGTGAAAGCAGGTTTTCTCCATGTCTGACTGCTCCATACAGGCTGTCCCTGAGCCACTGGCATACTGGAAGCAGAATCTCACCAGCTGAGCTGTCCTCACCCGTTGCAAAAGCTGTTCTTGCCCCATCAGCCAGGGACTTCTAACAGAGTTCGTTTATGACTGCAAAAATGAGACTATGTCGAACCATTTCCAAGGCTGGGAGAGCTTTCACTGGAAGTAACCGGTGGGTTTAGCCAATGAACTATTAACAGCAGTTTCAGAACTGCGGCAAAAATAAACTACTCCCAAACTGCAAAGTGGTGTAATTCCAAAATGCTGCCCCATGCAGTGCTGGCAGGGCTCATGCCACTTCTAGCTATTAATGACATTAAGAGACAGCTAAAATTGTACTGAATAACCTCCTCTCTGCCTAAGTAATTGCTATTATTGCTGCAGGGATATTATTGGAGGCTTTTGTGCAGCCCAAGGAGGAGAGGCAAGAAGCTCTACAGCCGTCTTACTAGAAGGGCTAGGACAGTATTTGCAAGCCTCAGGGTGTGGGTACATGTTCTCTGCCCTCTGGAGAAGTTCTGTTCCTAGCAGCTTGTCACTGTTCCCTTGCCAGAGGTTATCACATCTTCAGATCAGCACTGGGCTTTGCTTCCAAATTGTTTTCAAGGAGAACGAGCCAGGTCAGCAAAGACTTTTTAACTGCCTCAGCTAACCTAACCCATTTTGAGCAAAATATATTAGGAAGCACTTGCATGTGCAGCTCAGCTGGCAGGTTGGAATGGGCTTCAGCTTCTGGCAAAGAGGTGAGAGAGATCTCAGCAGGCACAGCTGTGATGGGAGAGGATATGTCTTAAACTGCTTTTTTGAACCCAGATTTTTAGGGTTCTGCAGATCAAAAAAGGTTGAAAACCACTGCTCTGACTTCTGTTGTCTGCAGCAAGGCACTGAGAGCTCCTGAGCAAGCCAACAGAGCAATATCAGTACTTTATGTCCAAGGTCATGGCTAGGAGATTCTGTACTTTTCCAAATTACTACGTTGGCTCTGGTTCTTTGAGGCTGAAAATGGCTTGGCCAGAATTGGAAGGTTTCTGCTTGCAGAACTCTGCAGAGTTCAGTGGAGGCTTGTCTGTGCAGGGAGGCTGAGGTGGGAGTTCGCAGCACCTCAGCTGCTCCTTGCTGCCTGTCTGTACTTCTGCTGTGAGCGAGGGGGAACTTCCAGACTTGTCTGAAAGCTGCTGAGGGGCTGCTGGGCCGTTGTAAACTCGTCAAATACAGCACTGACAAAACCTTCCAAACCTCATCCCTTTTCTGATACGTTTTATGTAACTTTTATCCTTGGCTGCATCTGGCCATGATTTCGGTGGAAACTGTACTCAGGTCTGAACGTGGCCTGAGTAGCTGAAAAGGCTGAAAGGCCCATGAGCTAAGATGCTTTGTCTTTTTGGGTTTTTGTTTGTTTCTTTTTTTCCCCCCTCCCCCCTCCCAAAGCAAACGGAAAGATTCAGAGCCACGGACAAAATGCCTCCTGAACAACGCTGAAATCACCCCTCACCACCCTAAGGACCCTGTGGAAATGAGGCGCATCAACTTCCAAACTCCAGGTAACCGGCTGCAAACCGGCCTTTTCTCACTGGGAAGGCAGGAGCGGAGCAACTGCCCTTTCCTTAGCCCCTTCCCGCCCGGGGGAAGGCTGCTGCAGCGCTGCCTTTGAGACCTCGTGCTAACCTGGGATGCAGCCAAGGAACCTCAAAGCCTTGTCTGCGCTAAACGAGACTGCTGAAAGAAACCTTTGCTGGGAAACCTCACGGACCTTGCCCAGGCTTTACCCAGCAGTAGCAAGGCAGGAAGGAGGGTTTGCCTGGGTACCCAGCTAAATTGGTGCATTCTGGGCTGAGTACACAGCTGCAAGTGCCGTGGCCGTGCCAAGCTTGCCAGACTACCGATGCCGCCGCGCAGCGCCGTGCCTCGCGCTGGGAGATCCCCAGGGGTGGTGGAGATGAAGCGTGGCGGGCTGCCTGGCACGCGCTGCTCCAGCCACATCTGTAACTGGTGCTTTCTGCATACATGCCAAAACACTCATGTGAGGAGCCAGGCCTGCCCCATGGGTTGTGTGGAGAGAGAGCGGCAGCTGGCTGCTTCGCGCAGACGAGGCAGCGTCTCCCCGCTTAGTGCGGACGCCGTCGCTGCGAACAGCCGCTGAGCTAGCGTGTAACTGCACATAACTCCCGGGCAGAGAGGCTCGATGCACCCTCCTTTCTGTACACGTGTGTCCCCACGTACATGCATGTCAAAGCTGCCTGCATGGCACCTCTGCAAGCCACCGCTGACACGGCCTGGCACGGGCATGTCCTCACGCGGACGGACACTTGGCAATGCCGAACAGTGCCTGCACACTGGTACGCACCTCTGCCTCGGAGTTCCTGGTGCTTGAAGATTTGAAGGGAATTTATTGTGCTTTTTGGGGGCTGGCTGTTGTTTTCAGTTTGTTTGTATTTTTTTGCTGTTTTGTGCTTGTTAGTGATGTTTCTACAGCTCTTGTTTCCCCTTCCCATCCCAGTCCTGTCCTTAGCGTTGTCTGAGTTTTTTTAGGGTGAGGTTGGCAAGGCAGTAGGTACCCAGAGGGCAGGGTTCTTCAGGGAAGCACGAAGGCAGCACTGAGCTGAGGGCTTTCTATGAAAAAGAGTTAGGAACAACCCGTTGGTATCAGCCCAAGCTTAGGAACGACTGAGCCTCAGCTGAGGGGTGGAAGTGGGTTCAATCCAGCGTGCCCAGACTGAATGCAGAGCAGTTCAGCAGTGGTTAGGTCCCTAAATCAGCCCTTACTTAGGGGTGCTCTTACAGGAGAGTCTGAAGGTGTCTGAGATCTTTTGAGTGTCCCCAGCTGCAGGTCAGCAGCAGTTTGCATTTGTGGGGGCTCAGTGTTAAATATATAACAGGGTGCAAAGAGGATCTCCCTTTGGGGAGTGTTCAGGTTGGCTTCTGGGTGCTCCAGGTGGTGATGTGAGACCCCAGAGAGAGAGCTGCAGTCCCCCAGGTGAAACCTATGCTGAGATAAAAATAAAAGGTTGTGGCCATCATCCAGCTTAGCCTGGGTGCTAAGAGGCAGCTGGAAGTGCTGTTCATGTGTTTCCTTACTGGGTGTTTCTCCCTGTCCCCACAGGACAGTGGAGTCAGCGAAGGGTGCTTCCAAGCTTCGGTTAACATGATCGATAGATGAGTGAGTCTGTCTTCTGCTGACCCTGCTGTTTTGGTCATGCTATACCTTTGAATTCTTGGTCTAAGAGGCTTGTGAAAGGTAGCCAAGACATGCAAACCTGCCGTTAAAGCCCTGCTAGAGAAAGGTCTGCACATCTCAAAAGACCGGCTTTGTCCAGTCTGGCTTTAGAAAGATGCTGCCACCTTTTCTTTCTAAGTTTATCTAGCCAAAGAGTTTAGCTAACTAGTTTAGTCTGCTGTGTAGTTTGTAAAGCAGTAAAAGGATTAAAGGATTTGGGAGAGTTGGTCGCCTGCCTCCCGCAGAATTTTGGTAGCAGTTGGGTGAAAATGGACACGGGTGGAAAATCAGAGCTTGAAGTGTGTTGGTGATGGTGGAGAGTTTGTGGTGCAGTTTGCAGGGGAAGACTCCGAAGGTGCTGTCTGAATTAAAGCCATTTGAATTAAATACATTGTGGTTTAGAAGAGGGTTTGTAGGCTCTTCTCCAGCCGGATTACCCAGGGTCCAGCAAGCAGAGAGTCTCTGTCCTGTCCCCTGCAGCAAAACAGAGGGGGGGCGTGGGAATGGGAGTGTGCGTGAGCATCTGTGCAGCTCGGAGAGGGGAAAGCATAGCACATCTTGGAGATCCTGTCCTAGCCTAATCAGCACAAAAAATAACTTTCTTTTCCTCTTTAGATTTATGTTGTTTTTTGTTTTTTTTTTATTAGCATGAAATTTTTTAAAAAGTGTATATTTTATTTATTTATTTTTTACTGTTTTCTGCAGATTCTGGTCTGAGCAGCCCTCTCAGTGACCCTGAGTTTGACTTTGAAAGTTAGTTCCTGTGTGTTTTTGTTCCTGTTGGTTTCATTTTTTCCCCCCATTATTATTTTTTTCTCTTCTATCGCTTTCCTTTCCAATTCTGTTTTGTTCCTGTTACTATTTTTTTTCCTCCAAATTCTCTGTATTCCTGCCGTGTTTGCCCATCTCATCCCTTTTCTGTGCCATCTGTTTGTCTGAACCGCGCTTCCAGTTTTACAGTATCAACTAACAGGCCGTTTGCGAGACAAGGGTAGCAGCAGCAGAATAGAGCCCCCGGTAGCAGCGTGGGACACTGTCCGTCCTTCCGTGTCTCTTTTGCTGTCTCGGGAGAAAGACCTGGGTTTCAAGGCTTCCTTTTCTCCCCGTTGTTGAAGATGTTTCATTTCCGAAGCTTGGCTAAACGTCCCTCGTACTTATTCACGGGCAGAAAGCGATCTTCAGTGCACCAGCGTGTGAGCGTTGTGTGTGTGTGTGCCTGTGGTTTTGTGTTCGTTGCTTTGTAACGTGGGGAAAGAGAAAAGCGGAGCTGCAGCTGACGAGCCCGTCGTTCTTTGGAGAGAGCTGCACAGGCACCTTTTCACGTCAGAGGGGGAAAAGGGCCGTTTCCCATCTGTGGCAGGTGTCTGTTCCTTGGCAGCAACTTGTTCCAGGAGCACAAAGACCAGAGGCCTCTCGATGGTCCTCCACACCCCCCGGGTTTCATGCGAAGTGCCATCCAGCCGTGGTGATTTTGCGAGGATAAATGGGTTCTGGCCCGTGTAACAGATGTTAGGGTGACGTTTCTGGCGAGTTGGCTGGTGCACAGAGAATCGAGTCTTTTGTGATAAGATTAGAGAGATTCAAGTGATTGAAATGTTAGATGAGACTGGCTCTAAAAGACTTCATCCCATTAGAAGCCAAGATCCCAGCTTTGCTGGGTGGGTTTTGGCTTTGATATTTTTATTTTTTTTTTATGCTGGGCAGGGAAGTAGATGTGAGGTTTCAGCTGACAAATGTGAAGAATCACAGATGCTGCTTGTGCTCCGAGATGTGAGGGCTGGGACATTTTTCTGAATAGTTTAATCCAGATATTGGTCTCTTTGGTATTGAATACCCCTGTCAACACTGCCCCAGTCCAGCTGCCACCTCCCCTCCACCCCCTTACTGTAACAGAGGGGGTTTGCGTGTGTTTTCAAGCCCCACTGATCCCTGGCTGAACCTCAGCCCAGGGCAGCGCTCCCTCTGCCACCCTCGCTGCTGCGAGAGGTCTCCCTGGGTGGTGGCCCTGCAGGTAGCCGGGAGGCCACTGAGCAGAGGAACCCGCGAGCCATTTCCCTTCATGTCTAAAAAAAGAGTTACTGACTTAAAGCAGACAAAAGAGAAGCTGCTGCAGCTGACGCAGCCGTGCAGGCTAGTACCACTGGGAAGTACTGCTCCTGGCTCATTTAATATCAAACTCCTCCTGGATCTTAAATGGGAACCCTGATGCACTTGGCATTTTGACCAGGAAAGCGTTTATCACTGCAGAGGTTTCCGGTCGTCTTTTATTATAAAGAGCCCTAGAAATCGATCCGACAAGGAGATTTCTGTCTTTAACAGCAGCAAAACAAGACAAGTTCCCATGTGCTCGCAGCCAGTGTCTGGTTACAGCGGGGTGGAGGCGAGGGCAGGATGTTCCCCAGCAAAGAGAGCTGGTTTTCAGGAGCCAGTCACGCTGAGGATTTTTCGTGAAGCTTTTATGAAGGAAACTCGTGAAATGCCTTCAAGGGGAATGTGACTTCTTGTTCCAGATTGGCACGGTGGGCCTTTCCCATGCAGCCCACTTGCTCAGGGAATGACACATACTGCTCCATGCCTGCTAAGCCAAAGAGAATCTGGGTGGTTTGGGTTTTTTTTTTCCTTGCTCGTTATTACTGGGTTTTCTGATTGTTTACTTTTTTCCTTTTAACCTACATGTTCATCATTTGGGATTTAATTTACGGCACTGTGTTTCTAAGCACACTTCAGCAAATAATGTCTAGGCTCTTGCAGCAGTCAGGTGCTGGCAGCTGGGCCGAGGGCCGCTGGGCTGCGGGGAGAAGTCGGTGAGGAGGTGACCCACAGGGATGCGGAGACGGCTTACGGAATTACCAAAAGTTCTTCTGAGTAGGGCTCAGCTTTGCTCTTATGCTGCAGCTCAAGGCATGCGCAGCCCTTATTTTCAGAGGCAGAAGGACAGACGCTGAGAAGAGTGTTTATAATATTAACTTGGTTTGGTCTCTGATCTCGGGCATCTCGACCAGCGTGGCCTTCCCATCCCACGCGGGCGGAGAGAGGGCCGGTTCCTCCCAGGAGCCCCAGTCTGCGGCTGGTGCTGTGGTACTGGGGAGGATGGCAGCCGCTTTCCAGTCCAGGGTGGGAAGCAAAGCAGAAATCCTTCTCCAGGTGCAATGGGCTACGGGACAGCAGGAGGCTAGTTGGGAGCTTTTCCTCCACGAGCCAGGAGAGACTTTCTGCCCTGATGCTCGGCAGACTAGAATGGAGCCAGCGCAGCAGAATACTCCGGGGTTATTTCTGTGAGCTTTTTTGTCTATTCCTCCCCCCTACCTTCTATTTTCAGCTAGACTTCCTTGTGCTGAAAACAGACGTCTAGTTAGCTTTAGGAGAAACCTGTTGGAGTGGTGGCTCAAATCCCCGCTCTCTGGCAGGCTCGTCCTGTCCCCAGGCCTGGGGGAGGCGGCATCTCTCTAGAAGTCACTGTAAAACTGAGGATGTCATGCTTGCTTTGCCATCTCTGTGCTGAGTTTTCAGAGTATCTGACCATGCTGCTGCCACCGCCGCTGCTTTGTCACACACCAACACCCACGGGGCTCGAAATTCTCCCTGGCTTCCATCTCTTCTCCACTCCTGTCCTTCTCATGGGGGGCACTGCCCAGGGCTTCTTGGCATGCTGCCATCCTTGCCTGTCCGCTGTCGTTCGTAGCGGGATCGGCTGGCAGACAGCATGGGAAGCCTTTGGGAAAACATAATCCAATGCAGATGAGCAAAGCACGGAGCGCTTTTCCACCGCGATTTGTGGTGTAGCTATTTGAGATGATAGGATGGGAAGGATCCTGGCTCCAGAGCTCCAGCTGCCCCTCTCGGAGCAGGATGTGCAAACCACACTTCGACTGAAAACCGAGCCTGCCTTCGCTGCTCAGCCCCGTTCGTGGCTGAGATGTGCCTTCAGTCTGGCCAGTCTAGCGCAGCGTGGCCCTCCGGTATGTCTTGGAGAAGATCGAGTCTGTTCCCTGGTGGTTCTGCCTGCCTCAATACGGGCACAACCACATGTTGGTGAGAACTGCAAGGGCATCAGGTGAACCAGGGTCATGAGGCATCGGTCTCTGCAGCAAATTGTTTCCCATCCCCCAGAATGAGAAGGGGCAAGAGGATCTTTTGCCTCTCCATCGCAGGAGAGGCTGCGATGGGGTCGGTACGGCCTCCCCCCAGGTGGCAAAGGGAGGGCGAGGACAGAGCAGCACTGGCCGTCTGCGGGCTGTGCTGTAGAAGGAACATCATCCACCGGCCGTGAGCAGGACGAGGAGCCAGTGCTTGACATTTCCATACCTGGTTGCACTCTCGGAGCGGTGAAGGTTAGACTGCTGCGTCCCTGAGCTCAGCAAGAAGCTTCCAGAGCCAATGATGTGCAAAGAACAATTCCTGAAAAGCCTCCCCTGCTTCCCCCCATCTGCATTCCCTTCCCCTGCCCCACATCACCATGGTTGGCTGGATCCCTGCCCCTTCTCTTCTTTGTGTTGGAGTTTGTTTATGATCATGGCGGGTGCTGTAACATTTGCTGCGTAGGTTCCACTGGCAGCATTTGCTCATTTTAAGTCCACTATTGGAATCGCTAACACACATCTGCTCTTCGGATTTTCTTTTTGTTTTGCTCTGATTTACGCATTGAAAACGGGGCCATCAAGGGAACACGCTCATTTTACTGGTTTTTTTATTTCCTTGATTTTTATTCTTTACTTCCAAGGACACAATTTCGAGCCCTGAATTCTTCTCTTCTAACCTCCCTACTTTCATTGCAGATCTTACATTGTAATTTTTTTTTCTTTTCTTGTTTCTTCTCTCTTATAAAATGTGCAACGGTTGTGAATTTTAGTTATTATTAAATGAGATTCTTTTCCTGCTGTCTTGTCTTTTAGGTATGCTCAGCCACCCACCAATCCCCGTTTCCGAGCTGGCTGAACACACAGAGCATCTCAAAGCTAATGATAACCTGAAATTGTCCCAAGAGTATGAGGTATGAGCAAGAGTGAGTGCTGTGCATGGGTTTGCAGAGCCAGGGAATTCAGACAGGCCCTCATCCAAATAAACAGAGCTTCGTTGTAGGGATCTGGTTAATTGAAAAGAAAAAAAAAAAAGCGCTATTTATGTATTGAAAATTAATTCCTCGCTGGGTGCTTTGCTAGGGTCCGTTCCAGATCATAAAAAAGGTGCGTGATCCATGAGCTGCCCCTGTCCGAAGAGGGGTCCTGTCCATCTGGGAGCTCCCTTCGTGAAGAGGGGATGCATTTCTGGAAGCTGACTGGCAGACCGATGGGATGGGGAGTTGTCCTTGGGCATGCCTGTGTCTTGCTGCTGAAGGTGGAGAGGACCAAGCCAAGGCACGTGATAGCCAGTGTTAGATAGCTGAAGTTAGGACAAGATAAACAGTCCGTCCTCCACAGCTGACGTGATCAGCAGCCACGGGGCTAAAGCTGAGAAAAACAGGATGATTTGTGCCTTTCTTGTCGTGTCTGGGGGTTTTGTGCTCTTTTTTTTTTCTCCTTCCTGCTAACGTTTGGTTACTCACGTGGGCTTCTGCAGGTGACCAGCTGTGGCTACTGGACTTGCATTTCAAATTGCTATCCTGGGCTGTAAAATGCCCACCTTGCCGGGGCTGACAGGTCGGGCCGGTCCCCAGGCAGACTGAGGGGGAAGGCGAAGAGCATCGTAGCCCCCGCGTTACCACCGCTGCTACGTAGCGTGGCATCCTCGTTGCCAGCCAGGGCAGGGCCGCACGCCTGCCCAACCCCGCCCCTGACCGCTCAGGCTGCGTCCGCAGCGGTTAAATCCCAGTGCCAACGCCCGGTGCTGCCGGGGCCATCGGTGTGCGGGTTGCTTTCATTGCAGATCGAACACACGGCTGAATCTTTTTTTGTTGTTGTCCAAAGACATAAAATGCCCCGATATTTTTAGACTAATAACTGGTCTAGACTGCCTAGTTCCGCTTACAGGCGGAGAGCGAGGGGCTATCTTCCTGAACAAAGGGCTGGTTCTGGGATGCGTTCTCCCCGCTCTGGCTTGCAAATCCTGGCGCGAGCGAAGCAGCTCTACTCGCAGCTCCGCGCCCACGGAGCGGGATTGCGCGGAGGAGGAAGCGCGTTTGCTCTGCTGGGCTCTTCCGCCCCACCTTGGGGTGCGGGGCGAGCAGCAGCCTGTTAATGTGCTCTGTCCAGATTTCAGAGGCTGATTTGCATAATGCAATATCCCAAGTGCCCTGGCTTCCTTCCAGCACAACCTCCTCTGGTGGGAGAGCCAGAGCTAAACAAACATCGCTAATGAAATGAATGCGAGGCGAGATTAGAGGGATAGAGAGCAAACAGACGCATTACAACAGTATAAATACCCATTAGTTAGAAATGCTCCGCGGCGAGAGTGCGA